AGCGAGATGAGTGCCGCAACCCCAGAGTCGGCCACAACTGGACCTAATGGTCAGGGGTCCCTTTACCTTTACCTTTATACAAAACAAAAGAAGCTTCTAATTCTATTTAATTGCTGCTTTTATTTCTTATATTGTGTATTATTGTAAATAGTCATATTGTAACATCAGTATTGAATGTGGATATGCCCCAGTCCACCTGAATGAACCATGTTGACCACTGGTGGTCCAGTTTGGGAACTCCTGTTCTGTACCCAGTTACCCATAGTAGATGAGCAAATATGATTTTGATGATCCTCTTCTATAAGCAGAGATCAGAAAATGCCAAAATGCACTGAGTGAACTAAGGACAAAAATTTCATTGCATGGTGTCAATATGCTTTCTTGTTAATCATATCTTTCACCCACCCTTTTCAGTGCATTTCTCTGTCCTAACCACAAAAAAGTCCTTAAAAAATGAAAAGAAAACAGTGGAATTGTTATGCCAGGACCTTTGAATGCAATATAATATTTTTAAACTGCCTTGAGTTTAAAATTCTATAGTTCTACGATTTAGACTTGCAGCTTGGGGAAATGAATAAATATCAGTGTTCAAGAGGTGAACTTGCTTGATATGGCACTTTGCATCACAGCTCAGCTGTTTTTTTTTATATTTCTAAAAGTACTAGCAATTTAGCTTGGAAAGAGCGAGCTCAGATGTTGAATGAATCCATTGCCAATAGCATTGTTTAGGCATGAAGGTAGGGCTTCTGTGATGGAACAAAAAACAAGTTAGGAGATTAATTTTCAAAGCCTGGAAACCAGATACTTCCTGATTATAGCATTAGCAGTTGTGGGGGTGGGAGGAGTGAAATCTAGTTAGAAGCACACCAACGAAGGTATTTGGAATACCAGGGAATATGGGGCTGACATTCTCTATAAATGAGTCCTTTTGAGGACACGTTAGACTTTTCCTTTCAGAAATGTAATTCTCCTGAGTGGAATCTTCCGTCAAGGTATGACGGCAAGTGTTAGCTGCAGAATGTATAAACAGAGCGAGCCAATTCATTTGCTGCATGCTTAATGAGCCAGGCTTTTAACATGGGAAGACACCAGCTTCTTTCTTCCACCTCCTTGTCTGGTCTGCAACAGACACATTGAAGCCAAGAAGACGCCATCATAGCATTCACGGTCAAGCCAGCTTCTGCGGTGCAACAAAGTGCTGTTTCATGTTACCCTAAGATGTTGCTATACTCTGTAAGATCTGTAAATTAAGGAAGAAGGCCTCAAAACACCTCCCTTCTGAATCAAAGCATTAATAGGCACTCAAATTCTCTGCAAGATGAGAGAATGACAACAACAACAACAACAACAACAACAACAACAATTTATTATTTATACCCCGCCCATCTGGCTTGGTTTCCCCAGCCACTCTGGACGGCTTCCGACAAAACACTAAAATACAATAACCTATTAAACATCAAAATCTTCCCTAAACAGGGCTTCCTTCAGATGTCTTCTAAACGTTTGGTAGTTATTTTTCTCTTTGACATCTGGTGGGAGGGCGTTCCACAGGGCGGGCGCCACTACCGAGAAGGCCCTCTGCCTGGTTCCCTGTTACTTGGCTTCTCGCAGTGAGGGAACTGCCAGAAGGCCCTCGGTGCTGGACCTCAGTGTCCGGGCAGAACGATGGAGGTGGTGACCCTCCTTCAGGTATACTGGACTGAGGCCGTTTAGGGCTTTAAAGGTCAGCACCAACACTTTGAATTGTGCTCGGAAACGTACTGGGAGCCAGTGTAGGTCTTTCAAGACCGGTGTTATATGGTCTCGGCGGCCGCTCCCAGTCACCAGTCTAGCTGCCGCATTCTGGATTAGTTGTAGTTTCCGGGTCACCTTCAAAGGTAGCCCCACATAGCAGTAGTCCAAGCGAGAGATAACCAGAGCATGCACCACTCTGGCGAGACAGTCTGTGGGCAGGTAGGGTCTCAGCCTGCGTACCAGATGGAGCTGATAAACAGCTGCCCTGGACACAGAATTGACCTGTGCCTCCATGGACAGCTGTGAGTCCAGAATGACTCCCAGGCTGCGCACCTGGTCCTTCAGGGGCACAGTTACCCCATTCAGGACCAGGGATCTGTTGGGATACTGCCAGGGAGATAAAGTCCATCAAGGCCCCCAAGCCGTCTGCCGGACGATCCATTGACCTCCCGTAGTCACGCAGTATCAACAATTAGCGACATGAGTTTCTAGAAGATTTCTTGCCACATTCCAGAGCTCATGCACACTCTATCAGCAGATAGTCACAGCAAAAGTTGCACCCAGGAGAGCATTATTTACAAGTTTATTCAGCGTTGATCAGAACACAGAAAAACATGACCGACTGCTTTAGTGTCTGCGACACCAGAGAGAAAACGAAAGCAACAGAAAACATAAACATCCTGTGAACAGGAAATACGCAGACTCTGACTCACAAAGCCTGCTCCCTTTTAAGGTGGAACGGAAATATCCTAACATCCTCCCCTTTCCGTGTAACCTGTAGTACCTGTGGTTCAACCCAATTGCAACCTTTGTACATAAACCTTAAGTTGTTCTCTGTTAACAACCTTAGACAACAGATCAGCAGGAATTTCATTTCCTGGCATGTAGGACACCTGAATGAGTCCTTTCTGAATACACTCTCTTGCACGATGTAGCTTAATCTGCAAGTACTTGGTCCTTTGCTTGCAACTCTCCGAGTTCAGCAAAGCCAAACACGATCTATTGTCTTGATACACTTGTACAGGACATTTCACAGAAACTCTGATGTCCTTAAACAGTTGCATCAACCATTCACAATCCATGAGTGAAAATGACAGAGCATTGAGTTCTGCTTCACAGGAACTTAGGCTCACTGTCGTCTGCTTTTTGCACAACCAGTCAAACAGGCAGTGGTTGTACATGTAGCATACTCCAGAAGTGCTTGTACCATCCGTGGTGTCACTTCCAAAACTTGCATCTGCAAAGATTTCAAGACCTCCAGTCTTCTGACTGGTGAACCTCAGCCTGTAGTGCATAGTCCCTTTCAAATAGCGGGCTATGCGCTTCAGAGCTTTCCAATCCTGAACAGTAGGATTGTTAGCATGTCTGCTAAGCAGGTTAGTGCTTACAGCTATGTCAGGTCTTGAGCATCTAGCAATGAAATTCAACTTGCCTAGAATGCATCTGTACAGCGTTGTGTCAGAAAACGCTTCAGCAGTACTGTCTACCTGGTAACCTGTCACCATCGGTGTGTCTGCTGGGTTTGCATCAACCAAATTCAACCTGGTTAATACATCAGCAATTTTCTGTGTTTGGTGTACCAGAAAATTACCTGCTTGGTCCCTCTCCACCTGCAGAGAAAGATAGTTGGATACCTCACCAAGATCCTTCATGTCAAAGTGCTCCTTCAGCTGAGCTAGGGTGCTTTGGTAGAAAGCCTGATTCTTCCAAAACATCAGAAGATCATCAACAAAACATAAACAATACAGTTTGTTTTGCCCCTCCTCCTTGACAAACACACATGGATCAGCTTTGCCCTGGTGAAAACCTAGAGAAAGCAATGTCTCAGTGAGTTTTGTGTTCCAACACCTGGCACTCTGCTTGAGACCATATAAGGATTTCCGCAGTTTACAGACCATTCCCTTCTGTATCTGCATCCCGTCAGGTGGAAGCATAAACAGCTCCTCCCCAGAACCCCGTACAAAAGCTGTATTAATGTCATGATGGGAAACATGCAGTTTCTCCTCTGCAGCTATCTTGAGCATCAGCCGAATGCTCTCATATTTGACGGTGGGTGAGTAGGTCTCGTGGTAATCCTGTCCTGGTACCTGTGAAAAACCTCTGGCAACCAATCTGGCTTTATGTCTGACAACCTTGCCATTCTGGTCTGTCTTGGCCTTGAAGACCCATTTGCTGCCAACCAGTCTCATCCCTGGGACTACCGGTACCAACTCCCAAGTTTGGTTCCTATTCAAGGAATCAACTTCAGCCTTCATGGCATTAAGCCAAGGCTCAGCATCTTTAGAGGTTAACTCCTGAACCTCTTTGAAGCTTGAAGGTTCCCACACCTTCTCTGAGCTACTAAGAACAGCAGTTGCTGTCTTAGCAAACTCATCAGCAAATCTCTTTGGAGGTCTGCCCTTCGTGGCTCTCTCAGATCTGCGTACTAGACGCAAGTCTTCTGGACTCATCTCCTCTTTCTTAGGAGAAAAGTGACCAATGGTGAACAGTGGTTCTTCCAGTTCATTGTCAGACGCATCAGATGGTCTGACTGAGGCCTTTGCGCTCTTGTAGTCTGCTGTGTCATCACTGTCACTGACATCAGCAGCAGCGCCGCCCACTGAACTGGAATCCGAACTCTGATCATCATCGTCATCATCATCCTCAGCAGCTTCCTCAGCTTTAGCTGCTTCTTTGACATCACCTTCATCCTCCTCTGGGTAACTCTGGAAAATTCCCACATTTTCCCCCCACTTAGGATTGTACTCAACACTCCTTGTGAACTTAATGGACTTAGAGTTGGTCATCCATACCCTGTATGCACCTTTGTCGTACCCCATGAACACACCATGTGCCCCACGCGTCCAAAGCTTGTTGCTCTGTGAGGTGTGTACCCACATGTCAGAACCAAAGATTCTCATGTGTTTGATGTTGGGTTTCTTACCAAACATCTTCTCATAGGGAGTACAACCAATAGGTGATGACAACCTGCGATTAAAAGTGTAAACAAACGAGTTCAAAGACTCCCCCCAAAACTTCTCAGGGAGATTGGCATCATGCAACAATGTTTTCAGTCCTTGCAGCAACGTTTGCTTTGCTTGCTCACAAATCTCCCATGGAGATCCAGGACTTGAGAGGCTATGCTGGATTCCCTTCTCAGTCAGGAAAGCTTCAAACTGCCGAGAAGTGAATTCAGCCTCTCGATTTGTAAACAGACAGCCAATACGTTTACCGTGAACATTCTCCAACCAGTTACAGATAGGTAGCCGTGTTGGTCTGCCATAGTCAAAATAAAAAAAATCCTTCCAGTAGCACCTTTAAGACCAACTAAGTTAGTTCTTGGTATGAGCTTTCGTGTGCAAGCACACTTCTTCAGATACACTGAAACAGAAGTTGCCAGATCCTTCTATATAGTGAGAAGGTGGGGAGGGGTATTACTCAGAAGGGTGGTGGGAATGGGAGATTGGCAGATAGCTGAGATGAGCCTGCTGACGACTCTTAACGACTGTAATAGGTCTTACAGGAAAAGGCAAGGGGTGAGAAGGTGAGAAATGGCTTAGTCATGTATAATGGGATAAGAATCCAATGTCTTTGTTCAAACCAGGTCTCTCCATGGTTTTAAGTTTGGTAATGAGTTGCAATTCAGCAGCTTCTCTTTCCAGTCTATTTCTGAAATTCCTTTGTAGTAAAACAGCTACTTTGAGATCTTGTATAGAATGTCCTGGGAGATTGAAGTGTTCTCCTACTGGTTTCTCTGTTTTGTGATTCTTGATGTCAGATTTATGTCCATTTATTCTTTGGCGTAAGGTTTGGCCTGTTTGTCCAATATAGAGAGCTGAAGGACACTGTTGGCATTTGATGCCATACACAATGTTAGATGATGAGCAATTGAATAGTCCCGAGATGGTATGTGTGATGTTGTTGGGGCCAGTAATGGTGTTGTCCGGGTGTATGTGGCAGCAAAGTTGGCATCTGGGTTTATTGCAGGCTCTGGTGCCAGTGTCCGTGTTAAGTCTGGTTGTAGTATTATTGTGGGTTAGGAGTTGTTTAAGATTGGGCGGCTGTCTGTAGGCAATGAAAGGTCTTCCTCCCAGAGCTTGAGAAAGAGAACTGTCATTGTCCAGGAGAGGTTGTAGATCTCTGATGATGCGTTGTACTGTTTTAACTTGGGAGCTGTATGTGATGACTAGAGGTGTTCTGTTATTTTCTTTTTGGGGTCTGTCTTGCAGCAAGTTCTCTCTGGGTATAAGTCTGGCTCTGTTGATCTGTTGTCTAACTTCATCTGCTGGGTATTTTAGTTCTGAAAAGGTTTGCTGTAGATCTCTTAGGTGAGAGTCTCTGTCTGTAGAATTGGAACAGATGCGGCTGTAACGTAGTGCCTGGCTATATACAATGGACTGTTTGGTATGTTTGGGATGGTAGCTAGAGGCATGTAGATATGTTTGTCGGTCAGTTGGTTTACGGTATAAGGTGGTGTCTATGCGCCCATCCTGTATTTTTATAGTAGTGTCCAAAAATGTATTTCTTGCATAGATTGATTCATTGTAAGGTTGATTGTGGGGTGAAAATCATTAAATTTCTGGTGAAAGGTGTCCAGGGTCTGTTGACCATGTGTCCAGATGATAAAAATATCGTCAATGTATCGCAGGTACAAGAGAGGTTTGAGTGGGTAGGAGTTTAGGAAACGTTGTTCTAAATCTGCCATGAAGATGTTGGCATACTGTGGGGCCATGCGGGTGCCCATTGCTGTGCCGCTGATCTGAAGGAACAGGTCATCACCGAATTTGAAGTTGTTGTGGGTAAGGACAAATTGGCAGAGTTTGGTGGCAAGGTCCGCTGTGGTTTTATCTGAAATGGTGTTCCTTATAGCTTGTAAACCATCGTTGTGTGGGATGTTGGTATACAGAGATTCCACATCCATAGTAGCTAGTATAGTATTGTTGGGAAGATTATTTAAAGATTGTATTTTCCTCAGAAAATCTGTGGTGTCACGTACATAGCTGGGAGCACTGATGGCATATGGTTTCAGAACAGAGTCCATATAACCGGAGACACCCACTGTAATAGTGCCAATACCTGAAATGATGGGGCGTCCTGGATTTCCTGGTTTGTGTATTTTAGGTAGAAGATAGAAAGTTCCTGGTCGAGGTTCTGTTGGTGTGTTGGTGAGGATCTGTTCTTGGATGTGTGGGGGTAGCTCCTTAACAATCTTGTTCAGTTCTTTCTTGTATTCTTGTGTGGGGTCTGAGTCCAATTTTGTGTAAAAGGCGGTATTGGAAAGTTGTCTGTGAGCCTCCTGAATGTAGTCAGTTTTGTTCATGATGACGACAGCTCCACCTTTGTCTGCTTCTTTAATTATAATGTCTGGGTTGTTTCTGAGATTATCTATGGCTCTCCTTTCAGCATGGTTTAGATTTTGTTGTAAGCGATGGTGTTTTCTGGTCACATCTGTTTGGATTCTGTGGCGGAAGCAGTCAATGTACAAGTCCAGTGTGGTATTGCGTCCATCAGGAGGGGTCCATGTGGAGTCCCTTTTTGTGTAACACTTTTTCGGAGGTAGTTGGTGGTCAGTGTTCTGTTGGGAGGGTGGTTGTTGTTCTCCAGTGGGTTGAGAGGTGTTGTGTTGTGAAGTTGTTGTTTGTTCTGATTTGTCTTGTTGTTGTGTGTGTTGAAAATACTCCTTCAGGCGTAAACGGCGGAAAAATGCTTCCAAGTCCCCGTAGAACTGAATCATGTGTGGGGATTTGGCAGGGCAGAATGACAGTCCACGTGAAAGGACTGATTCCTCGGCTGGGCTGAGTGCTTGCTGTGAGAGATTGACAATATTGTTGATCTTGTTTTGATTAGTAGCCTGTAGGTTGGAAAGGTTAGAGAGTTTCTTGTTTTTCTGTTTTTCAGTAGCTCCAGTTGAGAGTGGTAAATGTTTTGTTTTCCTTTTGGAACTCTTGCCAAGCTTGGTGGTTCCTGATAGAGTTGTCTACTACAAGGAGTTCCTCCTTTATTAGCTTCTGTTTAGAGTAGAGAACGCTGATCAGATGTTTGAGCAGCTTCTTAGAGAAAGTGTTGCATAGTTTTCTTGCATATTCAGTGGGATACGTGGATTGTAGAGGGTTCTTAATTCTAAGACCCTTGGGTATAATGTCCAGGTTCTTGCATTTAGTAAGAAAGAAGATATCAGTCTGTACCTGTGCAAGTTTCTTGGTGAGGTTGATGGACTTCCATTTCATGCGGCTCAATGTGGTGCCTTCCATGGTTCCAGTTACAGATAGGTAGCCGTGTTGGTCTGCCATAGTCAAAATAAAAAAAATCCTTCCAGTAGCACCTTTAAGACCAACTAAGTTAGTTCTTGGTATGAGCTTTCGTGTGCAAGCACACTTCTTCAGATACACTGAAACAGAAGTTGCCAGATCCTTCTATATAGTGAGAAGGTGGGGAGGGGTATTACTCAGAAGGGTGGTGGGAATGGGAGATTGGCAGATAGCTGAGATGAGCCTGCTGACGACTCTTAACGACTGTAATAGGTCTTACAGGAAAAGGCAAGGGGTGAGAAGGTGAGAAATGGCTTAGTCATGTATAATGGGATAAGAATCCAATGTCTTTGTTCAAACCAGGTCTCTCCATGGTTTTAAGTTTGGTAATGAGTTGCAATTCAGCAGCTTCTCTTTCCAGTCTATTTCTGAAATTCCTTTGTAGTAAAACAGCTACTTTGAGATCTTGTATAGAATGTCCTGGGAGATTGAAGTGTTCTCCTACTGGTTTCTCTGTTTTGTGATTCTTGATGTCAGATTTATGTCCATTTATTCTTTGGCGTAAGGTTTGGCCTGTTTGTCCAATATAGAGAGCTGAAGGACACTGTTGGCATTTGATGCCATACACAATGTTAGATGATGAGCAATTGAATAGTCCCGAGATGGTATGTGTGATGTTGTTGGGGCCAGTAATGGTGTTGTCCGGGTGTATGTGGCAGCAAAGTTGGCATCTGGGTTTATTGCAGGCTCTGGTGCCAGTGTCCGTGTTAAGTCTGGTTGTAGTATTATTGTGGGTTAGGAGTTGTTTAAGATTGGGCGGCTGTCTGTAGGCAATGAAAGGTCTTCCTCCCAGAGCTTGAGAAAGAGAACTGTCATTGTCCAGGAGAGGTTGTAGATCTCTGATGATGCGTTGTACTGTTTTAACTTGGGAGCTGTATGTGATGACTAGAGGTGTTCTGTTATTTTCTTTTTGGGGTCTGTCTTGCAGCAAGTTCTCTCTGGGTATAAGTCTGGCTCTGTTGATCTGTTGTCTAACTTCATCTGCTGGGTATTTTAGTTCTGAAAAGGTTTGCTGTAGATCTCTTAGGTGAGAGTCTCTGTCTGTAGAATTGGAACAGATGCGGCTGTAACGTAGTGCCTGGCTATATACAATGGACTGTTTGGTATGTTTGGGATGGTAGCTAGAGGCATGTAGATATGTTTGTCGGTCAGTTGGTTTACGGTATAAGGTGGTGTCTATGCGCCCATCCTGTATTTTTATAGTAGTGTCCAAAAATGTATTTCTTGCATAGATTGATTCATTGTAAGGTTGATTGTGGGGTGAAAATCATTAAATTTCTGGTGAAAGGTGTCCAGGGTCTGTTGACCATGTGTCCAGATGATAAAAATATCGTCAATGTATCGCAGGTACAAGAGAGGTTTGAGTGGGTAGGAGTTTAGGAAACGTTGTTCTAAATCTGCCATGAAGATGTTGGCATACTGTGGGGCCATGCGGGTGCCCATTGCTGTGCCGCTGATCTGAAGGAACAGGTCATCACCGAATTTGAAGTTGTTGTGGGTAAGGACAAATTGGCAGAGTTTGGTGGCAAGGTCCGCTGTGGTTTTATCTGAAATGGTGTTCCTTATAGCTTGTAAACCATCGTTGTGTGGGATGTTGGTATACAGAGATTCCACATCCATAGTAGCTAGTATAGTATTGTTGGGAAGATTATTTAAAGATTGTATTTTCCTCAGAAAATCTGTGGTGTCACGTACATAGCTGGGAGCACTGATGGCATATGGTTTCAGAACAGAGTCCATATAACCGGAGACACCCACTGTAATAGTGCCAATACCTGAAATGATGGGGCGTCCTGGATTTCCTGGTTTGTGTATTTTAGGTAGAAGATAGAAAGTTCCTGGTCGAGGTTCTGTTGGTGTGTTGGTGAGGATCTGTTCTTGGATGTGTGGGGGTAGCTCCTTAACAATCTTGTTCAGTTCTTTCTTGTATTCTTGTGTGGGGTCTGAGTCCAATTTTGTGTAAAAGGCGGTATTGGAAAGTTGTCTGTGAGCCTCCTGAATGTAGTCAGTTTTGTTCATGATGACGACAGCTCCACCTTTGTCTGCTTCTTTAATTATAATGTCTGGGTTGTTTCTGAGATTATCTATGGCTCTCCTTTCAGCATGGTTTAGATTTTGTTGTAGCGATGGTGTTTTCTGGTCACATCTGTTTGGATTCTGTGGCGGAAGCAGTCAATGTACAAGTCCAGTGTGGTATTGCGTCCATCAGGAGGGGTCCATGTGGAGTCCCTTTTTGTGTAACACTTTTCGGAGGTAGTTGGTGGTCAGTGTTCTGTTGGGAGGGTGGTTGTTGTTCTCCAGTGGGTTGAGAGGTGTTGTGTTGTGAAGTTGTTGTTTGTTCTGATTTGTCTTGTTGTTGTGTGTGTTGAAAATACTCCTTCAGGCGTAAACGGCGGAAAAATGCTTCCAAGTCCCCGTAGAACTGAATCATGTGTGGGGATTTGGCAGGGCAGAATGACAGTCCACGTGAAAGGACTGATTCCTCGGCTGGGCTGAGTGCTTGCTGTGAGAGATTGACAATATTGTTGATCTTGTTTTGATTAGTAGCCTGTAGGTTGGAAAGGTTAGAGAGTTTCTTGTTTTTCTGTTTTTCAGTAGCTCCAGTTGAGAGTGGTAAATGTTTTGTTTTCCTTTTGGAACTCTTGCCAAGCTTGGTGGTTCCTGATAGAGTTGTCTACTACAAGGAGTTCCTCCTTTATTAGCTTCTGTTTAGAGTAGAGAACGCTGATCAGATGTTTGAGCAGCTTCTTAGAGAAAGTGTTGCATAGTTTTCTTGCATATTCAGTGGGATACGTGGATTGTAGAGGGTTCTTAATTCTAAGACCCTTGGGTATAATGTCCAGGTTCTTGCATTTAGTAAGAAAGAAGATATCAGTCTGTACCTGTGCAAGTTTCTTGGTGAGGTTGATGGACTTCCATTTCATGCGGCTCAATGTGGTGCCTTCCATGGTTCCAGTTACAGATAGGTAGCCGTGTTGGTCTGCCATAGTCAAAATAAAAAAAATCCTTCCAGTAGCACCTTTAAGACCAACTAAGTTAGTTCTTGGTATGAGCTTTCGTGTGCAAGCACACTTCTTCAGATACACTGAAACAGAAGTTGCCAGATCCTTCTATATAGTGAGAAGGTGGGGAGGGGTATTACTCAGAAGGGTGGTGGGAATGGGAGATTGGCAGATAGCTGAGATGAGCCTGCTGACGACTCTTAACGACTGTAATAGGTCTTACAGGAAAAGGCAAGGGGTGAGAAGGTGAGAAATGGCTTAGTCATGTATAATGGGATAAGAATCCAATGTCTTTGTTCAAACCAGGTCTCTCCATGGTTTTAAGTTTGGTAATGAGTTGCAATTCAGCAGCTTCTCTTTCCAGTCTATTTCTGAAATTCCTTTGTAGTAAAACAGCTACTTTGAGATCTTGTATAGAATGTCCTGGGAGATTGAAGTGTTCTCCTACTGGTTTCTCTGTTTTGTGATTCTTGATGTCAGATTTATGTCCATTTATTCTTTGGCGTAAGGTTTGGCCTGTTTGTCCAATATAGAGAGCTGAAGGACACTGTTGGCATTTGATGCCATACACAATGTTAGATGATGAGCAATTGAATAGTCCCGAGATGGTATGTGTGATGTTGTTGGGGCCAGTAATGGTGTTGTCCGGGTGTATGTGGCAGCAAAGTTGGCATCTGGGTTTATTGCAGGCTCTGGTGCCAGTGTCCGTGTTAAGTCTGGTTGTAGTATTATTGTGGGTTAGGAGTTGTTTAAGATTGGGCGGCTGTCTGTAGGCAATGAAAGGTCTTCCTCCCAGAGCTTGAGAAAGAGAACTGTCATTGTCCAGGAGAGGTTGTAGATCTCTGATGATGCGTTGTACTGTTTTAACTTGGGAGCTGTATGTGATGACTAGAGGTGTTCTGTTATTTTCTTTTTGGGGTCTGTCTTGCAGCAAGTTCTCTCTGGGTATAAGTCTGGCTCTGTTGATCTGTTGTCTAACTTCATCTGCTGGGTATTTTAGTTCTGAAAAGGTTTGCTGTAGATCTCTTAGGTGAGAGTCTCTGTCTGTAGAATTGGAACAGATGCGGCTGTAACGTAGTGCCTGGCTATATACAATGGACTGTTTGGTATGTTTGGGATGGTAGCTAGAGGCATGTAGATATGTTTGTCGGTCAGTTGGTTTACGGTATAAGGTGGTGTCTATGCGCCCATCCTGTATTTTTATAGTAGTGTCCAAAAAATGTATTTCTTGCATAGATTGATTCATTGTAAGGTTGATTGTGGGGTGAAAATCATTAAATTTCTGGTGAAAGGTGTCCAGGGTCTGTTGACCATGTGTCCAGATGATAAAAATATCGTCAATGTATCGCAGGTACAAGAGAGGTTTGAGTGGGTAGGAGTTTAGGAAACGTTGTTCTAAATCTGCCATGAAGATGTTGGCATACTGTGGGGCCATGCGGGTGCCCATTGCTGTGCCGCTGATCTGAAGGAACAGGTCATCACCGAATTTGAAGTTGTTGTGGGTAAGGACAAATTGGCAGAGTTTGGTGGCAAGGTCCGCTGTGGTTTTATCTGAAATGGTGTTCCTTATAGCTTGTAAACCATCGTTGTGTGGGATGTTGGTATACAGAGATTCCACATCCATAGTAGCTAGTATAGTATTGTTGGGAAGATTATTTAAAGATTGTATTTTCCTCAGAAAATCTGTGGTGTCACGTACATAGCTGGGAGCACTGATGGCATATGGTTTCAGAACAGAGTCCATATAACCGGAGACACCCACTGTAATAGTGCCAATACCTGAAATGATGGGGCGTCCTGGATTTCCTGGTTTGTGTATTTTAGGTAGAAGATAGAAAGTTCCTGGTCGAGGTTCTGTTGGTGTGTTGGTGAGGATCTGTTCTTGGATGTGTGGGGGTAGCTCCTTAACAATCTTGTTCAGTTCTTTCTTGTATTCTTGTGTAGGGTCTGAGGTCCAATTTTGTGTAAAAGGCGGTATTGGAAAGTTGTCTGTGAGCCTCCTGAATGTAGTCAGTTTTGTTCATGATGACGACAGCTCCACCTTTGTCTGCTTCTTTAATTATAATGTCTGGGTTGTTTCTGAGATTATCTATGGCTCTCCTTTCAGCATGGTTTTAGATTTTTGTTGTAGGCGATGGTGTTTTCTGGTCACATCTGTTTTGGATTCTGTGGCGGAAGCAGTCAGTGTACAAGTCCAGTGTGGTATTGCGTCCATCAGGAGGGGTGCTTGTGGAGTCCCTTTTTGTGTAACACTTTTTCGGAGGTAGTTGGTGGTCAGTGTTCTGTTGGGAGGGTGGTTGTTGTTCTCCAGTGGGTTGAGAGGTGTTGTGTTGTGAAGTTGTTGTTTGTTCTGATTTGTCTTGTTGTTGTGTGTGTTGAAAATACTCCTTCAGGCGTAAAACGGCGGAAAAGTGCTTCAAGTCCCCGTAGAACTGAATCATGTGTGGGGATTTGGCAGGGCAGAATGACAGTCCACGTGAAAGGACTGATTCCTCGGCTGGGCTGAGTGCTTGCTGTGGTGGTTCTATCAGGAACCACCAAGCTTGGCAAGAGTTCCAAAAGGAAAACAAAGCATTTACCACTCTCAACTGGAGCTACTGAAAAACAGAAAACACAGAAACTCTCAACCCTTCCAACCTACAGGCTACTAATCAAAACAAGATCAACAATATTGTCAATCTCTCACAGCAAGCACTCAGCCCAGCCGAGGAATCAGTCCTTTCACGTGGACTGTCATTCTGCCCTGCCAAATCCCCACACATGATTCAGTTCTACGGGGACTTGGAAGCATTTTTCCGCCGTTTACGCCTGAAGGAGTATTTTCAACACACACAACAACAAGACAAATCAGAACAAACAACAACTTCACAACACAACACCTCTCAACCCACTGGAGAACAACAACCACCCTCCCAACAGAACACTGACCACCAACTACCTCCGAAAAGTGTTACACAAAAGGGACTCCACATGGACCCCTCCTGATGGACGCAATACCACACTGGACTTGTACACTGACTGCTTCCGCCACAGAATCCAAAACAGATGTGACCAGAAAACACCATCGCTTACAACAAAATCTAAACCATGCTGAAAGGAGAGCCATAGATAATCTCAGAAACAACCCAGACATTATAATTAAAGAAGCAGACAAAGGTGGAGCTGTCGTCATCATGAACAAAACTGACTACATTCAGGAGGCTCACAGACAACTTTCCAATACCGCCTTTACACAAAATTGGACTCAGACCCCACACAAGAATACAAGAAAGAACTGAACAAGATTGTTAAGGAGCTACCCCCACACATCCAAGAACAGATCCTCACCAACACACCAACAGAACCTCGACCAGGAACTTTCTATCTTCTACCTAAAATACACAAACCAGGAAATCCAGGACGCCCCATCATTTCAGGTATTGGCACTATTACAGTGGGTGTCTCCGGTTATATGGACTCTGTTCTGAAACCATATGCCATCAGTGCTCCCAGCTATGTACGTGACACCACAGATTTTCTGAGGAAAATACAATCTTTAAATAATCTTCCCAACAATACTATACTAGCTACTATGGATGTGGAATCTCTGTATACCAACATCCCACACAACGATGGTTTACAAGCTATAAGGAACACCATTTCAGATAAAACCACAGCGGACCTTGCCACCAAACTCTGCCAATTTGTCCTTACCCACAACAACTTCAAATTCGGTGATGACCTGTTCCTTCAGATCAGCGGCACAGCAATGGGCACCCGCATGGCCCCACAGTATGCCAACATCTTCATGGCAGATTTAGAACAACGTTTCCTAAACTCCTACCCACTCAAACCTCTCTTGTACCTGCGATACATTGACGATATTTTTATCATCTGGACACATGGTCAACAGACCCTGGACACCTTTCACCAGAAATTTAATGATTTTCACCCCACAATCAACCTTACAATGAATCAATCTATGCAAGAAATACATTTTTTGGACACTACTATAAAAATACAGGATGGGCGCATAGACACCACCTTATACCGTAAACCAACTGACCGACAAACATATCTACATGCCTCTAGCTACCATCCCAAACATACCAAACAGTCCATTGTATATAGCCAGGCACTACGTTACAGCCGCATCTGTTCCAATTCTACAGACAGAGACTCTCACCTAAGAGATCTACAGCAAACCTTTTCAGAACTAAAATACCCAGCAGATGAAGTTAGACAACAGATCAACAGAGCCAGACTTATACCCAGAGAGAACTTGCTGCAAGACAGACCCCAAAAAGAAAATAACAGAACACCTCTAGTCATCACATACAGCTCCCAAGTTAAAACAGTACAACGCATCATCAGAGATCTACAACCTCTCCTGGACAATGACAGTTCTCTTTCTCAAGCTCTGGGAGGAAGACCTTTCATTGCCTACAGACAGCCGCCCAATCTTAAACAACTCCTAACCCACAATAATACTACAACCAGACTTAACACGGACACTGGCACCAGAGCCTGCAATAAACCCAGATGCCAACTTTGCTGCCACATACACCCGGACAACACCATTACTGGCCCCAACAACATCACACATACCATCTCGGGACTATTCAATTGCTCATCATCTAACATTGTGTATGGCATCAAATGCCAACAGTGTCCTTCAGCTCTCTATATTGGACAAACAGGCCAAACCTTACGCCAAAGAATAAATGGACATAAATCTGACATCAAGAATCACAAAACAGAGAAACCAGTAGGAGAACACTTCAATCTCCCAGGACATTCTATACAAGATCTCAAAGTAGCTGTTTTACTACAAAGGAATTTCAGAAATAGACTGGAAAGAGAAGCTGCTGAATTGCAACTCATTACCAAACTTAAAACCATGGAGAGACCTGGTTTGAACAAAGACATTGGATTCTTATCCCATTATACATGACTAAGCCATTTCTCACCTTCTCACCCCTTGCCTTTTCCTGTAAGACCTATTACAGTCGTTAAGAGTCGTCAGCAGGCTCATCTCAGCTATCTGCCAATCTCCCATTCCCACCACCCTTCTGAGTAATACCCCTCCCCACCTTCTCACTATATAGAAGGATCTGGCAACTTCTGTTTCAGTGTATCTGAAGAAGTGTGCTTGCACACGAAAGCTCATACCAAGAACTAACTTAGTTGGTCTTAAAGGTGCTACTGGAAGGATTTTTTTTATTTTGACTATGGCAGACCAACACGGCTACCTATCTGTAACTGGAACCATGGAAGGCACCACATTGAGCCGCATGAAATGGAAGTCCATCAACCTCACCAAGAAACTTGCACAGGTACAGACTGATATCTTCTTTCTTACTAAATGCAAGAACCTGGACATTATACCCAAGGGTCTTAGAATTAAGAACCCTCTACAATCCACGTATCCCACTGAATATGCAAGAAAACTATGCAACACTTTCTCTAAGAAGCTGCTCAAACATCTGATCAGCGTTCTCTACTCTAAACAGAAGCTAATAAAGGAGGAACTCCTTGTAGTAGACAACTCTATCAGGAACCACCAAGCTTGGCAAGAGTTCCAAAAGGAAAACAAAACATTTACCACTCTCAACTGGAGCTACTGAAAAACAGAAAAACAAGAAACTCTCTAACCTTTCCAACCTACAGGCTACTAATCAAAACAAGATCAACAATATTGTCAATCTCTCACAGCAAGCACTCAGCCCAGCCGAGGAATCAGTCCTTTCACGTGGACTGTCATTCTGCCCTGCCAAATCCCCACACATGATTCAGTTCTACGGGGACTTGGAAGCATTTTTCCGCCGTTTACGCCTGAAGGAGTATTTTCAACACACACAACAACAAGACAAATCAGAACAAACAACAACTTCACAACACAACACCTCTCAACCCACTGGAGAACAACAACCACCCTCCCAACAGAACACTGACCACCAACTACCTCCGAAAAGTGTTACACAAAAAGGGACTCCACATGGACCCCTCCTGATGGACGCAATACCACACACTGGACTTGTACATTGACTGCTTCCGCCACAGAATCCAAACAGATGTGACCAGAAAACACCATCGCTACAACAAAATCTAAACCATGCTGAAAGGAGAGCCATAGATAATCTCAGAAACAACCCAGACATTATAATTAAAGAAGCAGACAAAGGTGGAGCTGTCGTCATCATGAACAAAACTGACTACATTCAGGAGGCTCACAGACAACTTTCCAATACCGCCTTTTACACAAAATTGGACTCAGACCCCACACAAGAATACAAGAAAGAACTGAACAAGATTGTTAAGGAGCTACCCCCACACATCCAAGAACAGATCCTCACCAACACACCAACAGAACCTCGACCAGGAACTTTCTATCTTCTACCTAAAATACACAAACCAGGAAATCCAGGACGCCCCATCATTTCAGGTATTGGCACTATTACAGTGGGTGTCTCCGGTTATATGGACTCTGTTCTGAAACCATATGCCATCAGTGCTCCCAGCTATGTACGTGACACCACAGATTTTCTGAGGAAAATACAATCTTTAAATAATCTTCCCAACAATACTATACTAGCTACTATGGATGTGGAATCTCTGTATACCAACATCCCACACAACGATGGTTTACAAGCTATAAGGAACACCATTTCAGATAAAACCACAGCGGACCTTGCCACCAAACTCTGCCAATTTGTCCTTACCCACAACAACTTCAAATTCGGTGATGACCTGTTCCTTCAGATCAGCGGCACAGCAATGGGCACCCGCATGGCCCCACAGTATGCCAACATCTTCATGGCAGATTTAGAACAACGTTTCCTAAACTCCTACCCACTCAAACCTCTCTTGTACCTGCGATACATTGACGATATTTTTATCATCTGGACACATGGTCAACAGACCCTGGACACCTTTCACCAGAAATTTAATGATTTTCACCCCACAATCAACCTTACAATGAATCAATCTATGCAAGAAATACATTTTTGGACACTACTATAAAAATACAGGATGGGCGCATAGACACCACCTTATACCGTAAACCAACTGACCGACAAACATATCTACATGCCTCTAGCTACCATCCCAAACATACCAAACAGTCCATTGTATATAGCCAGGCACTACGTTACAGCCGCATCTGTTCCAATTCTACAGACAGAGACTCTCACCTAAGAGATCTACAGCAAACCTTTTCAGAACTAAAATACCCAGCAGATGAAGTTAGACAACAGATCAACAGAGCCAGACTTATACCCAGAGAGAACTTGCTGCAAGACAGACCCCAAAAGAAAATAACAGAACACCTCTAGTCATCACATACAGCTCCCAAGTTAAAACAGTACAACGCATCATCAGAGATCTACAACCTCTCCTGGACAATGACAGTTCTCTTTCTCAAGCTCTGGGAGGAAGACCTTTCATTGCCTACAGACAGCCGCCCAATCTTAAACAACTCCTAACCCACAATAATACTACAACCAGACTTAACACGGACACTGGCACCAGAGCCTGCAATAAACCCAGATGCCAACTTTGCTGCCACATACACCCGGACAACACCATTACTGGCCCCAACAACATCACACATACCATCTCGGGACTATTCAATTGCTCATCATCTAACATTGTGTATGGCATCAAATGCCAACAGTGTCCTTCAGCTCTCTATATTGGACAAACAGGCCAAACCTTACGCCAAAGAATAAATGGACATAAATCTGACATCAAGAATCACAAAACAGAGAAACCAGTAGGAGAACACTTCAATCTCCCAGGACATTCTATACAAGATCTCAAAGTAGCTGTTTTACTACAAAGGAATTTCAGAAATAGACTGGAAAGAGAAGCTGCTGAATTGCAACTCATTACCAAACTTAAAACCATGGAGAGACCTGGTTTGAACAAAGACATTGGATTCTTATCCCATTATACATGACTAAGCCATTTCTCACCTTCTCACCCCTTGCCTTTTCCTGTAAGACCTATTACAGTCGTTAAGAGTCGTCAGCAGGCTCATCTCAGCTATCTGCCAATCTCCCATTCCCACCACCCTTCTGAGTAATACCCCTCCCCACCTTCTCACTATATAGAAGGATCTGGCAACTTCTGTTTCAGTGTATCTGAAGAAGTGTGCTTGCACACGAAAGCTCATACCAAGAACTAACTTAGTTGGTCTTAAAGGTGCTACTGGAAGGATTTTTTTTATTCTCCAACCAAGCACAGAATGCCTTGAACTTAGGAAACGCTTGCGATTTCTGCTCGAGCATAAACACATGAATGTACCTGGAAAAAGAATCAATTAGAACCATGAAGTACCTTGCTCCACCCAAAGAGGGCGCAAGTGGACCAACCAGGTCCGCGTGCACTAGCTGGTAGGGCTTTGGAAGCCTGCCTGCTAGACTCCTTTGCCTTCTTGGAGCAACCTTCACCTTGTTCTCTGCACAAGATACACATTTCATGTGAAACTTAGCAGGATTTGATGTTCAAACCCTCAACCATCTCTGGCATCTTGGCCAGCGCCTGCCAAGACATGTGACAAAATCTTCTGTGTGCATCATGAATGCATCCTGCATGAAGAACTTTGTTAGTTTGTGCAACACAACAAGAATCAGCATTAGACACAACAGCACCAATGTCATCATAAGTTATACAGAACAAGCCATCCATAAACTTTGCCTGCAAAATGTCCTCTTTGCCTTTTCTGATGACACAAACGCTCCTCTTGAAGGAAATCTCAAAACCACGCCCAGTCAACTGTGGGACACTGAGCAAATTGTCTGCAGCACCTGGAACATACAGTACATCTTTGATGGTAGTGTGCAGACTTGCCAGTTTCACAGTCCCTTCTCCTGCAATTCGCAACGTCTTTCCATCAGCCAGGTGGATCTCACCATCTTGAGGCGTGAAGGAGATAAATAGGTGGCGGTCCTTTGAGATATGGCGGGTACAGCCTGAATCAACAACAAACCTGGCCTTGGCTTTGGAGCAGCCTTTGCAGCAAGCAAAACCTTGTTTTCCACCGGCGTGGGCTTTTGCAGCTTGCCCCCCTGCTCCTGGCCATCAGACTTGCCTTTAGCCTTTGGTGAAGCTGTGCCAGCAAACCTTGTTTTCCTCTGGTGTGGGCTCTTCACCCTCCCTCTGCTTCTGGCCATCTGCAGGCGTCTGCCTCTGTTTACCTTTGCCCTTCCGGCCTCTGCAAAGGCGATGACCTTGGCTCCCACGAGAAACAGAGCTCTCAGCTGCCGACTCCTTGGCTCCCCCTGGAGGCTGGAATGCTGCCTGGGATGACGTGACAGTCAGCTCCCCCTGCAGCTTGCAACCGGTGCCCTCGGCATCCCTGCATTCACTCGCATTCTGGGAAACAGCCAGGACCTCCGATGCAGTCAAACTCTGGGCTGGGATGATTGGCAGATGGGCTACTTTCAAAGCATGCCACATATTACGTGCAGTCAGATTGCCAGCAAGCGTCTTTATTTCCTCCAGAGAGACGGACAAGACGATTACGTCAACGGCCTTCGAATTTTCGGCCTTCCATCTATCTGTCAGAGGAACTGGAGGGGCTTCAGACACAGTATGCCACACTCCAAACTGACGCAGCAAGCTCTCACACCATTTTGCCCAGGTCTGATAGTTGTGCCGATTTAACTTTGGGCACTCAGCAGCCTCAGAACCTTGGAAAAACTCCATTCCAGGTTTCTACTTGAGCCGTGAATCTTATTCACTTCAGAGACGTCTTATCTCAGCAGCTCATTAATCACGAAGCCTTTGGCGCGTCTCCCAGATCCATTAATCTGCCGGAGTTCAAAGGCCCTTGCCTCGGCAAACAGAAAAGCCTCACTTTCGCTTTTCTTCCACATACCTTTCAGCAGTCTGTCGCAGTCTTACTCTCCTGTAAGTGCTGTGAATCTGGGCCCGAAACCTGTTGTTGGGATACTGCCAGGAGATAAAGTCCATCAAGGCCCCCAAGCCGTCTGCCGGACGATCCATTGACCTCCCGTAGTCATGCAGTATCAACAATTAGCGACATGAGTTTCTAGAAGATTTCTTGCCACATTCCAGAGCTCATGCACACTCTATCAGCAGATAGTCACAGCAAAAGTTGCACCCAGGAGAGCATTATTTACAAGTTTATTCAGCGTTGATCAGAACACAGAAAAACATGACCGACTGCTTTAGGTGTCTGCGACACTAGAGAGAAAACGAAAGCAACAGAAAACATAAACCTCCTGTGAAAAGGAAATACGCAGACTCTGACTCACAAAGCCTGCTCCCTTTTAAGGTGGAACGGAAATATCCTAACAGGATCCACTTCGCATGAAAGAAAATGCCACTGTTATGTCC